CCTTGTTAAAATGGGCACACCAGAGGGCGTCTCTAACGCAGCCAGCCATGTGCTTTTTGTCATCATTTAGCTGTGACTTAAATGCGGTGGCCAAAAGAAATGTACAAATAAAGTGAAGCCCACAGCACTATGCCTGGAACTGTTATAAATCCTGGCCTCAGCCCAGCAGCATGTTGCACGCTTTCCACCTGTCTCAGTGTTCATGCTGCTAAAGGAACAGAGGGCTGAATTCAGGGCAGACTCTCTCTGCAAACAGTAGCAGAAGCAGCAAAAGAAAATGGCCCCAGAGGACAAACGCGGCTTGCTCTCCTCCGGACAGGCTTAAGTTCCTCTGGAAGATTCAACCAACATGGTTCTGCTGGGACTGGGGCTCCATGCTTCCACACTAGTCTTCCATCTCCATACCAGTGGACTAGATTCAGACCTGCAGTTTCTTTGAGCCAAGATAATTCTATTCCACTTTGCATGCTTTGGTAACTACTTCCTATCCATTTCCTCAACTATATCCCAACTTCAGATGCCTCTTTGGCAGCCAGAGAGGATTTACTTGGCCTGTACCTCATTATCACAGGAAGAACAGTATCACCACGAGACAGTATCAAGATATGTGACCTAGGGGAGGCCAACCTCTCAAGTTGCAATGTCAGTACATCAAATTCCAACAGTTAAGTTAGCATTTACTTCAATTAGCAGACGTCCTTCTCTGAATGCTACAGTTGGCTCTTTCAATTGTCCAGGCTCTGAACTGGATGTAGGGTGGCTGAATAGATGCATCAGGAAGGTCAGCCTCAAGCCCCAAGCGACCAGCATCCTAAAGCCTTCCTCAGGACTAGCTGCATCATCAGCACCAAAGAGGCAGCAGGGTCACCTGATGGAAGGCGTGGGTATGGCTCTCACGGTATGGTCCCTCTATGCCTTCCTCATGTCCTTTGAGCCAGGCATATGGCAGGACAACAGTTTTCTCCAGCTTCTGTTGTGGGATCAGGAAGTTCCTCATGATCTCATCCAGCTCCTCCAGAGGTAGCTGAGCATGGAGCTTGCCCACATTGTTGGGGTCCAGGTACACCACGTGCCTCAGCAGGTGGTAGAGATCCTTGAAGACATCTCTCAGCAACTCAGCAGCTTTCTGGCTAAGACCCTGAAGCAGCAGCACAACCACGTGGATAGCAGCTCTGAGGACTTGAACTTTATTATCTGTTTTAGCCACAGCAATCAGGTAATATGTCAGTTAGTGGAGGTTTTAGTCCATACACAGCTGGCTCCAAGGCAGAGTGAGTGGCACATGGCAGAGGGCAGCAGTTCATGGTGGCGGAAATAGCAAAACAGCAAGAGCAAATGGGCATTTGGTTTTTAAAAAGTGTACCACTTATGGTTCTGATGGTTGCACTACTAAATACATTTATAAACACATACTGACTTTCCCAATTAACAAACTTTTGAAATGAAGTTTGTAACTAGGACAAAACACTATGCTGTAGCTAAATTTACTATTATTTTGCACTTATGCATACATACCCACCCTACACATCAGTCTCAGCTTCTTTAATACTCAGCTTCCTTAATTTAGCAAATTCCAACCACAGGAATTGAATCTACTGTCTAAATTTTATTTTATTTTTAATATATTCAGTACAGGGTCTACAGAGTCTCATTACACAGATCGGACTTGTAGTGATTGTGTTTTCAGCCTCCCAAGCACTGGGATTATAGGCAGGCGCAACCACACCCAGTCTTAGTGCCTAGTTGCCATCTCAGCACATCTCGGGGTGGGGCCGGCATGGCACGCTGGGGAATGAACTCCAGTTCCTGCATCTGCCTAAGGAGGCACTTCAAATACCTGAACTATCTGGGCAGTCCTATTGCCTAAATTTTAGATTCCAAAGGTTCAAAACAGAAAAATGAATATTTTGCTTTTGGCTTTTAGAAAACATTTCTTAGTCAAAGACAGAAGAACTAGAGAGGTACACACAAAGACATGCCTCTGCACAATGTACGTTGAAAACCTGAGCCTGTCAAAGCTCTGTGAGCATTTTGAGTCTTTCAGTCACCCTTGACTGTTTCAATTTTGGAGGCTTCTCCCAAATGGTGAAGTTATGGAAATGTGGAAAAAATGTTTCATCTTTTATGTGAAACAGAGGTAGAGTGAGGGTGGTGCCAGGGACTTGCGATACACACTTTACAGTAATTTTTTTATTTTATACATTTATATTAGGATATTGTACAAGTTTCAAAGCTAATAAAATCTTGGTGCGTGTATTTAAAGCATAACAAAATATTTCACAAACTCCATATTACAGTACTATTGAAATTATGCATCTGTGGGTTATAAACAATACATTCATTTTAAACATTTAATGTGACTTAACATTTTGGTTAAAATAAATATCATGGTAAATGTCAACAGCAACACCTGAATACCTGGATACAAGAGAGGTGTTTTGTAATAGATACTATATAGAAAGGTAAAGCTTTCATGAATTGACTGTAAAATCTTACTAAATTTACAATCACTGCACACTGTTGAGCACTTAATTTACATAGGGATACCCTTCATTTACTGCTCCTAAACCTCAGCATATAAAACAGTTACCCCACATTTTCCCTGAGTAACTGGTACCAACACCTAAAAAAGGTTTAGAATCAGGTGTACCATTCATTTTACTGCTCCAATCAATTGAAACATTTTAATATGAAAAAATTAATTATAAGCAAAAATATAAAGATAACATTTCATAGGTGACTACAAAGATTAGAACCCTCTTTCCGGGATGGTGGTACATGCCTGTAATCCCAGCAGTGGGGAGGCTGAGGCAGGAGTACCACTGCGAGTTTCAGGCCAGTCTAGGTTACACAGTGAACTCAAGGCCAGAATGAACTAAATAGTGTGACCCTGTCTCAAAAAAAAAAAAAAAAAAAAAAAAAAAAAGGATTAGAACCTCTAATCTCCCTAATTCTTAGCAATGATCCCATTAAAATTAAATTTCAATTTACAAAGTGTTTTCTTCAGGAAAACTATAATCAAATGTATTATAAAAAGATATAATAACTGAAACATAAAAAATATTTCCCTGCATGGAAAATAGTAATGGATTTCACTGACCATTAAATTCTTCTTAGCTATATCTTTTTAGTAAACAGAACACTAAGAAGAAAAGCTGAAGTCTTAAAAGTCACTGTGATGAGGTTAAGCTAATGAAGTTTAGGTCCATGTACTCCTAAAGCTGTAAGAAAAAGGAAAGTATCTGTTTTAACCACAGGGCATTTCATTGCAGTCAATTATATCACATTAAAATGAACATGACACTAATGGTTAATAGAAAAACTCTACTTGTACTTGGGAAAAAATCTCCTGACACTTGGTGTAAATGTTATGAGTCACTAGAATCTGGGAAATACAATACATTCAGCCCTCATACAAATTAACGACTAGGTTTTTCTTTGCTTATTTCAAGATAAAATTATCCTTCAGATATCATAATAACCAAATGCATTTTTAAAATAGATTTTTGCACTTTTGCCCTTTATATTTCTAAAATTTACAAATGACCTGAAATATTCAAATGATCTAAGTAAAATATTATGTGAAAAAAACAAAAGCAGTTGCATGGCCTAAAGGAAGGTGCTCTCTGAATCTGAGGTTTTCTTGTCGGTGGGACAACCCATCCCAGGGCTATATGGTGGCACACGGTCCTGTAACCACAGTTGCCACTCCACTCTTTGGCTTTACCATTCTATGGGAAACTGGTTGCTCCTAATATGAAGACATCTGAGGGAAATTCATCTCGGTATCTCCACAACAGCATTTGCTAAACAAACTCTGCCCATTTCCTAGAACTAAATTAAGCATTACCATCTCTCATCTTCATGCACAAATACAGTACTTTCCTCAAAAACTTCCTAACAGAAAGGTTAATATCATAACAATTCTGGCTACAGTAATGGACAGTTTTCATTTCCTTAAACATATTCTAAGATCATAACCTTGAATTGAGGCTACATCAACATTCACAGTTACAGTGTAACACACATTCTTTCTTCCTCTCTTAATAACATACACATGCACACAAGATAACCCAAATTTTAAAAAGTTTAAAAAAAATGTTTTCAATTCAGGAAAGTGTTGCTATATCTTTAAAAGGGAAATGTTCCCAGAAAATTGGAAACATTATGGGAAAAATGCACACACAATATAAATAAGAAAAGTAACTTGAAGAATATAAAAATTTCTGAAGGGGACCAATCAGAACTTTAATAAAATCTTCAAGAAAAATATATGCTTACATTATAGTGTACAATTATGAGTTAACATACATTTAGCCTTAAAAAGAAATTGAAATATAGTACTGTAAGATTATTCAAAGAATAGTTTCCAAATGTACAAACAGTAAAAACAGTCTTGAGCAATGTGCAACTTTTAAAACCATTACATCAGCCTAAGAAATCCTTAACCACTTTTTAAACGGATTCATTTCTACCATTTTAATGAAAATAGAATGCTAAAACTATTAAAATATATATTCTGCTGTGTCTTACTCATATTTTGCCCCCAATCTTTTCACATTTGGTGCATTCTGAATTTAAAAGCTAAAAATTTACATGATTTTCAGCTACTTACTGCTTACATTTCTTATAAGAACTGTATCTGAAAGCTATAATGCTAAGAACTAAGATGTCCACTTCAAAATAAATGTTCATAAATGACTACAAAAAGCAAAAAAGGCAAATATTATTTTTAGGTTTTTAGAACATTTAAATCATTCTTAAAAGACACATTTTCAAGGCATAAAGTATAAAGTGTCATACCTAATTATGAAAACACCTAGTTTCCTAAACTTATGGCAATTGTAATTAAGAAAACTCTGTATTCCCCGTGTGGCAGATCTACAAATATTTCCTCAGGTTTTCCATCTATCTTAATGTATAGACGACATAACTTCATTATTTTGGGGCCAGGGAGATAGCTCAGTAGAATAAGCACTTGCCTGGCAAGCGCAAGAGCCTCAGTTCAATCCCCGGTTCCACAAAAAAAAAATAAAATTAAATAAATAAATGAAACAACTTCGTTATTTGGCACTGACACTCTAAGCGTGATTATTAAAAAAAAAAAGTACTGCAAAATGTATTAATTAAAACATAGTGGCTCTCAATCTAAAATCCTTCAGTGAATACTATCTTGACCACTTTCTTTGCTAACATGCAGTCTGGATATCCTGCAATCATTTTGGGCTTGCAAGAAGGTAACTCAGAATGGTGCAAAATGAAGCCTATATGAAAACTGGTTAAGGATTCAAAGAATATTAGCTCGGAAATATTATTCTTAACACCCAGACAAGAAGGGGAGGTATGATCTTCACAAAATACTTTAAATTCTGGTTATGTTCTTCATGATTTTGCCTGTTTAGCTGCTTGCGGTGCATGCATGCATCCTTTTTGCTACATCATACACATAGGTGATGTCTGGTCGCTTCTCTGGATCCGGGTTGATGCACATATTTACTAACTGTCGCAGCTGCAAAGACAGGAAAACAATGGTGCATATTTAATCCAACTTTCTCAGTTATTTTAAAATAAATTCGAAATATTAAGAGCAAAGTAGAGGCCAGCCAAATAGCTCAGCAGATTAAAGTACCTGCAAGCAGATGCAGGAGCCGGGGCTTTGATCCCCGGGCCTGCCATGCTGGCCTTGCCCAGGGGTGTGCTGAGATGGTGACTGAGACTGGGCATAGTGGTGCATGCCTGTAATCCCAGCACTTAGGAGACTATAAAAAGGAGAATCATTACGAGTCCAACCTAGAGGTGAGACCCTTAACATCCTTCCTTCCTTATAATACAGGGAAAAAAAAAAAAATGAACGAACGAACGAACGAACGAACGAACAAATGAAAGAAAGAAAGAAAGAAAGAAAGAAAGAAAGAAAGAAAGAAAGAAAGAAGAAAAAGAAGCAAAGTAGGGCCGGCAAGATAACTCAGTGGACTAAGCATAGGGACCAGGATTCAATACCTGGCACCACATGCCCTGTCGGCACCACTGAGCCGGCCACAGAGACTTGGAGTGGTGACACATGCTTGTAATCGCAGTGCTAGGGAGGCTGAAAACAGGATCACTACGAGTCTGAGCTGCATAGTGAGACCCTGTACCAAATACATTTTAAAAAAGCAGCAAAGTTATGTTTTTCTGACTCATTTTCCTCTTAAATATATAAAACTGGTATCAAGTAGATTTAAATTCAGTTAAATGAATTTAATATGCTCTAAGAAATATACTTATTGCAGAGTATAAATTGTGAAGTACAATCTATTTTACCCCAAGGAGAGGCTTTAAGAAGAACTCTTAGACTGGAGATATAGCTTAGTAGCACAGTGCTTGCCTAGCAAGTACAACGTCCGGAGTTCAATTTCCTGTACTAATAAATTAAAAATAAATATAAATAGTTTTATGAGAAATTTAATTGGAAGATACCAGTCTACCAGGGACAGTCTACTAAGACAGGATTTCAAACTCAAGAGTCCAACTCAACTACAGATATACACACATATATGTAACTTAGAACTTATTAGCTTTGACTGTAAGTTAAACCAAAGTATACATAGCAAAAGAACTAATAGCAAAAAGAAAAATAGAATCTTTGCAAAACACAGGGAAACCATGAGATGGAAGGGCAACAGGAAAGGGATTAAAAAAAGATGTGCTATGTAAGTGTACCAACTTGTAATGAATGCAATCAATATGTACTCATAAAAAAGTTTTTCTCTTAAAAAGCAATAAGGTAGATATCAGTCATGAACATTGTGAACCATTGTATAAAAATATTTATATTTTATATGAGAAACCATACCTCTAAGAATTGTAAATTGTGAGCAAGATTAAATAATTACATTATTCCAATTTTCAATTCTGTGAGGTAGCATTTCCCATTTTTTAGAGAAAAGCGATCAAATTTCTATCACAGAAAAAAAGAACACCTGAACAATCAAAAAATATCTTCCCTTATGTGCCAGATCAACCAAACAGGGAATATAGTTTTTATCTCAATTCTTCCATAAGCCTAGGAAACTAGGTGTTTTCATAATTGTTTATGAAATTTTATACTCAAATCCTTATGACCTGAATATGTGTCTTCAGGAATTATTTAAATATTCTGAAAACTTGCATTAACTTCCTGCCAATGCACTAACTTACTATAGTTTCTTCAGAGTCCTCAATTTCTACTATGAAACAATATTCAACCAGAGAAAATAGAGACAAAATTTGTGGGCTGTTAATACTCCTATGAATAAAGTAATGTTTGAGAAAGATGTTATTCTAAACGATGTGTGTTAAGCAGGCAGCCTGATGAAGGGTGGGGCTTGGAGGAGACAGTGTGCATAGTGAAGTGGAAACCAGTCTTCCTAAAAGAACTTTGTACTCTTGTGCCCTCACATAAATCATGACTCTAGGGATTTATTCCCTCATCCATTACAAAGTTCAAGCAGATGATCAGTAAGTTTCCTAGCTCTAGTTCCTGAAGCTGTATAGCTCTACAAGAAAATTAATGATACAATTTTAGCCACATAAGGAAATCTGCCAATGTTTGATGATAATCAACAGTATATCTACATTGAGGAGGGGATGAAGATACCAATTTATATTCCTTGCAAATGGGAAGAGAATAACACTGAAAAACTTCTAAGGAGTATAGTAACACACTGGGTATTTTATTATAGTGATCTAAGTGAAGCTTAAATCAGAAAGAGGTTGTCATTTTATCAATTCAAAGAAAATGTATCCAGTTATGAATAATTTAGAGAACAGTAGGAAAGTGCTTATAAATACTTCTATTTAAAGGGGTATGTTCTAAATTATCAAGCTGTCAGATGTTTTGTGCCTGCTTAACACACATCTTTTATAATAACATCTTTCCCAGGCACTGCCTTCTTCATAGGAGTATTAACAGCTCACAAGTTTTGTCTCTATGATAAAGCATAGAAACATAAAAATGATAAAGCAGAAAGGATGGTAGGAAAAGAAATGATACAGAAACTATATTTAACCAAACTACAAGTGAATACAACAAATTTTGTGGATTGCTTATTTACTACTACATTATTTTAACTAGTTTATACACTTCACTTTTCCTCCACAATATTTAGGATAGGGTGCAATTTCTAACCTACTGACAAGAAAAAAACTGGCCTCAAGTTCTCCTGGCATAAGGAAAAGCATTTTAGGTTAGCGACCGAATAATGCAAGTTTAATTGAAGAAGAAAGTGATTCTATAGCTCTCCAAAGTAAAGGATGGAAGCTCATAATGAAAAGGAGAAATACTCAGGGAAACAGGAAATGTTTGCTTCTCAACCACTCCTTAGGCACACCCTTACAAGGACATCAAGAACTCTGAGCCAGAGTAATGCAGTTTTTGCTTTATGCTCCCTGTTAGTTCAGTCTCCACCCATTATGGTTTACTTTGTCATAAAGAATTTTATTTTCCAGAGGAATTATTGACAGATCTATCACTGTATAAACTCAGATATATAATATATAGATTTTGGGTGCCTCACCCTATTTATGAGTCAATCTATATAATTTTTCTTAAACTATTTGTAATATAATGCACATAATTTGCAAAGAAAATTCTAGAAAATCAGAATTTCGTCTTGGCAGTGGCTCTTCATTTGCCACACAAACGCACATATGCTTGACTTTCTCAAGTACCACTCAGGCATTTGTATAAAACTGCTGTTAGCATTACTAGTGGATTCTTACATGAAGTGTTTCTATTATAGGTTAGGACAAAATTTTGTCCTCAGGTACATTTCCTGCAAAAATCCAATTTGCCTACTAGAAAAGTATCTGCTTAAAGCTCACATGTAAGAAACACTCGCTATGATTTAACTTACTGAATTTCATAGCAACTTTGGGGATAAGCACCACTACAACAATAAAGTCTTATAAAGTAGTAATATTCCTAAGGCTGCAAAGCATTAAGGGACAAAGCATGGAATGGAAACTGAAGCAGGCTAGTTTTAAAGCCTGGGCTACCAAGACTATGTTACACTGGCAGAAGGAAATTAACTAGGCCTGCAGGTGCCCTTATCCACTTCTGCAAAAATATGGGGTGATTTTCCATACACTAATGGGTAGATTGCTGGGCTATTTGGTTTTTCACAAATCTGTCAACTCTAACACCTATTACTCTAGTTTCTGCAATTAACTTGTCTGTCTTCACATTTCAGAGGACAATTTGGACAGAAGAGAAACCAACAAATTCTGTCTGGAGTACACAGTTCATGATGAGATACCGCAGCATATCGTACCCAAGAGAGGATTCTTAAATAATGACACAAACACATTCTGATTAGTATTGTGTCAAGACTGTCAATTTAATTTCTAATGTAACTAATTTATTTATTCATTTATTTTTATGTATTTAGTACAGGGTCTATACGGTCTCACTACACAGATTGGATTCATAGTGATCCTCCTGTTTACAGCCTCCCAAGTGCTGGGATTTCAGGCGCGTGCCACCATGCCCAGTCTCAATTGCCATCTCAATATGCCCTAGGTGCGGGGCCAGCACGGCAGACCTGGGATTGAACTCCCAGCCCCTGCATCTGCCTAAGCAGGTGCTTTACTCTGCTGAGCTATTTGGCCAGCTCTCTAATTTAACTAATTTAAGAAAGTGGCAATAACTCACTCCAAACAAAATGTATTTGAATTTTAACTTGGAACAATTTCTCTATTCTAAACTTTGTTCGTAAGGTGCTGGGGCTTCACTAAGTGGTAGCATGCTTGTCTGCCATGCAGACAAGTTTCTACTCACTGTACCACAAAAACCAACCCAGCCAACATTTTACAGTCACCTCACAGATATTTTAAAAAATGACTGAACTGTCATACAGACATTAAATAATTAAAATGTGATATGAGACTTTCTTAGGTCTTTTAAACCTTTTCTATAGATTTTACTGAAAATATTAAATTTTTATACAGTGTATAACTTCATGATCTATTGGAATGTTACTTTAAAAATTTGTAACAGTTATCCAATACTTTGCAATGACTGAAAGTATCATTATTATGTTCAAGAAAAATGTGTCAAGATAGTCAAGTTAAAGAAATCTACCTATATTCCTTTATGTTAATTTTAATTTCTAATATTAGACCCTGATTTACTCAGAAGAACCTTCTGCACTTGAATGAGATAGCTTTTACTTATTACTTTGAACTGCAGAAATAATTTCATGACAAGAGCATGTTAAAAGTTAATAATTTTTACTCATTTTTATCTTTAAAAAGTATTTAATTTGTTAACTTTCTACTTGCTTGTAAGATGTATACTTTGTTGCTTTAAAAAAACCTGTTATATAAGGACATGTCAAATATAAGGCAAAAATAATTTGAATATGCAAAAGCTTTTATAAAATAAAACAGAAAACAGTTTAATTCAGATGCTTCAGAGAGATTTAAAAAGCAAAACAGAAAACCTTAAGTGAATAAAAGCAAAGTAAAAAATAACATGAATTTTTTGAA